TGTTGCCCGCCACTTCTTACTCTATATGTCTGCAATAGGTTTAATGACATTTAGAAATATATTCCGGTTGACTGGTTCAAAGAAAGGTAGCGACATCGTCCTCCGAATTGTGCATCCCCTACTGCAGCAGCAAGTCCCCTGTTTGTTCTCTGGACTATAACAGTCCCACTCGCTCAGTGTGATGTAGCATGTTTGGGCAGCATGTTTGTTCATTCCACATTGTCAATAACACATAATGGCGGGTGTTGAATGATAACCAGAGCGCTTTTGCGGGACACGAATTAGGTATGGTAAGGTGTGCACTTGCCAAAGTCCACTTGGGGTAAAAAGTAACCATGTGCCTTTGTGTTCAGTACTCTGTGGAGAAAATGTTAGCGAATATATCGGCAATATAAATTGATTTGTGCGCCTTTAAAAATAATTTGTAAAAGAAAATGTAGGCCTACGTGGGTTTGAGAACACTCTTTCTTTCGCCTGTGTGTTTCTCTCCGAGCTTGGCGGCCTGACATAGTTTGGAATATAATTTTAATCATAGATTTTCAGTTATTTTTTGACTTTGTTCCTCGATATCAGATTCAGGCACTTTTTTCCACAACGCATTTTAGCCCGGGGCTAAAAAAATAAGGACTCTAACCACAGTGTATTGTGTGCTTGTGTGTGTGTGTGTGTGTGTGTGTCTTTCTCAGACGCTTGCGGCCTGTCGGACGCTGCTCACATCGAGAGTCTACAGGAGAAATCCCAGTGCGCCCTGGAGGAGTATGTGAGGAGCCAGTACCCGAACCAGCCCAGCCGCTTTGGGAAGCTGCTGCTGCGGCTGCCCTCTCTGCGCACCGTCTCCTCTTCGGTAATCGAGCAGCTGTTCTTCGTGCGTTTGGTAGGTAAAACTCCTATTGAAACCCTCATCAGGGATATGCTATTATCCGGGAGCAGCTTCAACTGGCCTTACATGTCCATCCAATGATCCTTATATGAAAGTGGAAAAAAAGAAAGGAAAAAAGGACCAAAATTCAGCACCCCTCACCCCATCCTCCTTCAAGAAGACTATATATAGGACCTTTTCTGAGAAACTTGGAAGACATTACTTTTTTTCTGTCTTCTGGGACTGTGATGGAATACATTATGTACAGAAAAATATTGGAACTGGACTTTACACCTGTGTAAATCCACTCTCATCTTCAAGAACAAAACTCTTCATTTTGTAAAATACTAGTCTTTATTTTACTTTTTTGTAAAAAATACAAATAAAATGAAAAACATCATATGCGCAGTAAGAAAAAAGAATCAAGACTTAGCGGGAAAATAATGTTTCCAAGCAATTATAAGAATTGTCCTGTGTCTATGTACCTCTCTGTTTTGTATTATTTCTGGTTCTAAACCAGGGTTTCTGTGATTCTATACTAATAATTTTTTGATATAACCTTTTTGCTTCTTATAATGAGTGCGATATATGTTGTCGAAGCTATGTTCTCCAAGAATTAAAATTGAAGTGAGAATTTAAAAACAGAAAAATAAAGAAATTTAGACAAATAAGAAACAGTCTAATCGCTATGACAATATCACCACTGATGGTTGAACTTTTTCCCAATTGATACGATGGACCTGCAACAGCAGCAAACTGACCTCCAGGACATTTTTACTGACATTTTTACTCCAGGACGTCTGGGGCGCCTTTACCCGGACCATAAGTGCGTGTGGAGTCGATCATCAGTCACAGAGGAGAGACATGAAAATCAAAAGCACTTTTAATATATCATTTCAAATACATTTTGTTTGTTTCGTCTTGAAAATTTTCATTGTTTCTTGAATTTTATTGGTTGTTGCCTTCAATTTGCTTACTCCATGATGCAGCTTTTTGCAGAAGGGTCGGTTGATGAAGTTGTGTGATGGTGACTGTACTATTAAAAAAGAAATAGGCAACGATGTCTCCTTCTCAAGCGTTTTCCTACAAGCAAATGTCAAGATGCTGTGGCTTATTTTATACCATCTGGGGGAATATGTTATCTCTGTGCGCTGCTAGATTCTATAAGAGAAAAAACCCGCAAGATATCCCTTCATTTACTGAGTCAGAAACACAAAATACTTTTCTCCTCTATTTTGTCTGACAGTGAAAACGAGATGATGCACGAATTTAGTGTGGTAATTACACAAAAGGACGCATGCCTTACATTTTTAACAGACCCACTGACATAACTGGCAGTGCGGATGCAACGGAAGGGAGACTATATGTGCGGAACTACAGCCGTGAGCTCTCTGCTAGCCTGTGAGCGCATTAATGTTTAATATTTTTCCCAGACAGCAAGAGAAGCCTGCGCACCACACAGAGCCACCTCTGTCCTTCCTCCCGTGGCTTAATCAAGGTGATTCTCCACAAACCAAACAATATTCCCCATCTACCCCGTTCTTAAAAACCCTGCCTTGATAGTGCTTGCCTCAATATTGATGTGGGCGTCATTTGGCAAAAGGGTTAGGCCCCGCTGCAAAGCTGCTGTGATATGCGTGATCAATCTGGAAAATGTATTTTACAGCATGTAAGCCAGTCGATAGGAACACCGAGTGTGATGCATTGTGTGGGAATAGAGAGGAGAAAGGAGGGAGGGAGGAAGAGAAAGAAAGAGAGAGGGGGGGTAGAGAGACTATTGGAGCCAGTGCTGAGACAAACGAGAGAAGAAACGCGTCAGGAAGAAGTCAAGTGTATATCTCTGTGTGTGTGTGTGTGTGTGTGAGTGAGTGTGTGTGTGCGCGCGCGCGCGCGCGCGTCCATGAGCGAAACTAGAAAGACGCAAAGATATGTAGCCTTGGTTTGCCTTATGCACTCAGGGTGTAATGAGTCCATCGATAAGTCTTCAACGTGTTAGATGGGCTACCTACAGTTGGTGTCCTTGCATTGGCCTGTTTCTCACAAGCGTTCTCTCTCGCTTTTTTGTCTCCATATCCTCCCCAAATGACAAAGGAAGCCCGGTTATTTACCTGGCTCTACCCGCACTGGCAATACTGCATTACACTAACACCCAGAGTGATAAAACGTGATAAGTTGGACGGCGTTATGAGGGAGAAAATGGGGTTTTGGTGTGACAATTATTAAATTTGCCTGTTATCCCCACCAGCCCATCATCACCACCACCCTTCATCATCAGACGTGTTGCTCGTCTGCCATATTGCCCACATCTTCATCTGCTGACTGGCAGTGATGAGGGGCAGTAGAACAGGAGCTGAACTGCATGTAGCACGTTAAAATGCCTGGATTTGATATTGCCATATGTTATCTACCTTATAGGAGTTGGGGGGAGGGGTGCTCGTGTCAGTGGTTTATTTGGTTTTCTTGCTTGCTTCGCTCAAAGGCTTCAGTATTAGAGTATTCATTAGTTGTTGCCAATGTAGGAATTCTAGGAAGGTTTTCATTTAGGTTTTTATCCGTTGTTCTCCAGCAGAAAATATATTTTGTTTGTATTATGGCTCATGCCTGTTTCTCGAACTCGACCTGTCACTGGGCCATGCGCTGTGTTGTTACCTGAAACACTGTACAGAGATAAATGCTCTTCAGTTTGGATGCTGGTTCCGTGTTGTGGATGTGATACTTCTAGAGTATTAGTTTAGGTGAAAATTGTAGAAAAATCAGCTGATGGGGCTTTTCATTTTAGGGTGGAGACAGAATTCGATTTTTAAGGCAGTTAAATAAATGAAAAATAAAAACAGCGACACGTAACCAGCAAAAACAGCAACCTTAGAAACACACTTTGACGCGCTAGTAATATTTAGCCCATTTTGATTTTTGGTGTGTGTGTGTGTGTGTGTGTGTGTGTGTGTGTGTGTGTGTGTGTGTGTGTGTGTGATTTTATTTGTTTGCGTCTTTGTTTGTGCGTTTTCCGAATAATCCAGAGGATTTCCTGGATGTCGGACTGTGCGTGAGATTTATTTTTACATTTTATTTTAATTTTTTTTAAAGAAAACGAATGTGGCTCCTCCGTGGTCATCAAAGCAGTTCAGAATGCTTTTGTTTTATGTAGCTCTGGTCTAAACGGTTTGCTGGGTTAATAAACGCAGCTTTCAGCTGGTTGTCTCCACATAATGTATTCAAAATCCCTCTAGAGTGACTATCTTTTATCCTCTTGCTGAGAGCATTCTGTTATACAATTGTTACACTGCAGGCTATATAAAGCAACAGTTCAAAAACAGATAAAATGGTGGCATGTGTTCCCAATTAACGTTTCTGTATAGGCAGTGCGAAGCAAAACACATGAGGACTCTTGGAAAAATGATATTTTGTATTTACGCAGTGGACCCATTTTTGACAGAGGCTTAATTTAGTATATTACGTAACACTTCAATTACTAAGATAATACGCGTTAAACAACAGTAATGTTTTCTTTATTTTACAATCAGCCGTTTATCACCAAATGTCTTATGTCCTGATGTGATGACAGCATTAGTATTAATTAAATTAAAGTTTAAAAAAATGAAAAGCATAAAGGAGCAATAAGAGAAAACTAAACGCACTGTCAGATTAGACCCTAGCTGCGTTGGGTAAAGGAGATAGATGTGTTGTACACTTTAAGCTCCATTTGTGTCTCTGTAATTTCGGAAACTCCGGTTACCAAAGTGTTACTACGAAATGAGTTAAATAACCATTTACCTTTGTCTGGTTTCATTCATCAAACCACAAGTGGAGGACTCCTAACACGGGGGGCTATTTGTTTGCTTTACACAAGCAGCTGGGTGCGATTTCACGTTTGAGATATCTGTCTGAAAGCGAAACATTTATTATCCTAAGTTGTCAGCGAGCCTATTTCTCCAAAACCCTCAATGCAAACCAGTGGTTTTATGCAGCAGTGGAAATGTCCTATTGGCGTCACACGTCACTACATTTCACTTATAGTAGCCCGGCTTCTCCCGGTCACATTTGACAAATACTGTTGTTTGAGACAGTAACAATTTCTAAAACAGCGGCTGCTCGTACTGGTGGGAGA